GGGGGGGGGGGGGGGGGGGGGGGATTGCAGGATGGATGGTTGGGGGTTGGTTAAAGAGCTGCTTTTGCTCTTGGCTCTGTGACCGATCCCTTGTGTGACCTTGTGCATATACATCTCCTCGGGGTGGGGGACTCGTCTCTGCCTCAGTTTCCCCTCTGTAAAACAGTGATAATGATCCTCTCCCAAGAGGGGCTGCTGTGGCTTGTAAGGCTCTTAGTGATCCTCAAGTGAGCAGGGAATTGACAGCAGTTTAGCATCAATTGCTGCAGCTTTGACAGGCCCCAGGGAATGGTCACAGCTTTGTGACAGATGGTTACAGGCTTGGCCCAGCTGCAGCAGCTTTGCGTTTACAATGCACTCATCATCGTGGTATGAGGTATGCTGTGTGCAAAACTGTGTGGAGTTAGGAGGCGCTGAAGAAGGGCTTCCCCTGTCCCAGGGACACCGTGTTTGTCTCTCACCCAGGGCCGGATTAAGCTTTTGTGGGCCCGGCGCCAAACTTATGTGTGGGCCCCCCATGGAGGCAATGGAGCATGGCGCGGGGGGGAGGGTGTCAGTCCCCAGAGCAAGGGGACAGCCAGGGGCGATAAAGAGGAAGAATCCCATGCACTGCTACAGACTAGGGTCCAAGTGGCTAGGCAGCAGTTCTGCAGAAAAGGACCTAGGGGTTAGAGTGGACGAGAAGCTGGATACAAGTCGACAGTGTGCCCTTGTTGCCAAGAAGGCTAACGGCATTTTGGGCAGTATAAGTAGGAGAATTGCCAGCAGATCGAGGGACGTGATCATTCCCCTCTACGCGACATTGGTGAGGCCTCATCTGGAGTACTGGGTCCAGTTTTGGGCCCCACACTACAAGAAGGATGTGGAAAAATTGGAAAAAGTCCAATGGAAGGCAACAAAAATGAATAGGGGGCTGGAGCACATGACTTATGAAGAGAGGCTGAGGGAACTGGGATTGTTTAGTCTGCAGAAGAGAAGAATGAGGGGGGATTTGATAGCTGCTTTCAACTACCTGAAAGGGGGTTCCAAAGGGGATGGATCTAGCCTGTTCTCAGTAGTGGCAGATGACAGAACAAGGAGTAATGGTCTCAAGTTGCAGCAGGGGAGGTTTAGGTTGGATATTAGGAAAAACTTTTTCACTAGGAGGGTGGTGAAGCACTGGAATGCGTTACCTAGGGAGGTGGTGGAATCTCCTTCCTTAGAGGTTTTTAAGGTCAGGCTTGACAAAGCCCTGGCTGGGATAATTTAGTTGGGGATTGGTCCTGCTTTGAGCATGGGGTTGGATTAGATGACCTCCTGAGGTCCCTTCCAACCCTGAGATTCTATGATTCTATGAATATGGCATGGCAGGGTCCGCCTAGCCCAGTGCGAGGGCACTATTTACACACCGACAGTTGTCAGATGCACGATGGCCCGCCCATCTCTGTGCTGCCAGCATGCTCCTTCCCCTTGGGAGTGGGCCCATGCTGTGCCACACAGCCCCCTGCCCAACACCGGAACACCCCCCAATTCCCTATGGCCAACCCACCCCCGCGGACCCGCTATGCCTCTTCTGCAACTTTTCCTGCAGGGAATAGTCTCCCTGTCTCTCTCTCTCTCCCTGCCACATCTCGAATCCCATCTGAAAACCTCTCTCTCGTCCCTAGCTGATACCTCTTAATTTCTCAGTCCTTCAGCCGCTGTTCTGCTGTGCACACTGTTCCAGGGACCGAGGGTTTACAAGAGAGGCCGTACTGCTTGAAGCTGTTGCACTGAAAAGCGCCACCTGAAAACTGCAAACATGAAACCGAAGGAACTAAACCCTAACATGCATCTGCAACGGGGGTTCATCCCTTGTGCCAACAAAAGGCAGAGTGAGTGCTGGATTTGCCAGCCTGGAGAGGCAGCCTGGCCCCCCTCAGAGCGCGTGTGCGGGGAAAGTAAGTCAGCTGCGGCTGAACGGGAGTGAAGCAGGCCCCGAATCGGGGCCCAGGGCTCCCTGGGGATGTCGTTGTTAGAGAGGGGAGATTGCAGGGTTGATAACAGGCCTGTTAATACCTGCGGGTCTCCCCTCCCCGCGCATGGCAGGCCGTGGGCTGAGTGGTGAGACAACCCTCCTGCCTGCTCTTGTCTTCCCAGCTTTTGTTAATGGAGAGAGGGGCGCTTGCATCACAAGCTGTGCTGTCCTTGTCTCTGCCTTTCCCGTCATTTGCGGGGCCTCTGGGGCTGCAGGGGGTGCAGCGACCTGGAGCAGACTTTCACCTGGGGGAAAACCCTAGAATAAGCTGCAGTTTGACCATGTTCTCTCTGGATCTAGTCTCCTGGGATGTGCGTGTCAAGAGCTCCTGCGTCTGCCTCTCTAGCCAGCAGCACATCTGAGTCCCCATCCTGTTCTTAGCGAGGAGGGTGGTGTGGGCCTGTTCAGACACTGCATGTTTTCAGGAGGTCGTGATGCTTGGATCCAAACCCACCCAGCAGCGCGCAGCCTGCGTTCCAGAGCGCATGTTGCCATGGAAAGAAAACAGGGGTGGGGGAGCAGCACACGCAAAGCACGAGGATGGAAAATCTCTGCTCTCTGTAATTTGGGAGAATCCAAGCAGGAATTCTGTTCCCCCTCCCTCTTTAGAGTCCCTGTTAATTAGGACTCGGTTTAGTCCCTCGCCGCAGTGGATCGAGCCGAGCCGCTGGCATTGGCCTGCCTGGCTGAGAGCAGCAGGAAGGGCCAGGGCTGGAGGGAGCCCACCTGGGCATGGCTCATCGCGTTGTTATGGCGGCAGTGGAAACAAAGAGTAAACACGGCTGACGCTGCACTCAGCGAGCCTCGGTGCAGCAGAGGGCTTGGCTGTGGTTCAGGAACGACCTTCCCGGCCAGCTGCGTGAATTTGCCAGGGAGCTCCTTGTGTCCCATGGGCCCCAGTCAGATACGGACACATACAAACAGCTGGGGAACACTCCCCACGCGCTGACGGGCAGGCCTGGAGAGTCACAGCTCTCGCCCCGCCAGGGTCCAGCCCCACTGCCGCTTCGCCCCAGCAGGGCAGAGGGAGGGTACCAGGATGGCAGAGCAGGATTCGGGAGATCTGACAGGTTCCGCAGACAGCGAGGTGCAGAGATGGTGCAGGGCATGATGCTGTGGGAGTGGATGGGACACTGAAGTGAGGACCCTGCTCTCTCCCTTGGGGGGCTGGGGACTCCAATCCATTGGGGCAACAACAGGAAATCAGACCAGTCACTTGTCTTAACTCTCTGTAAACCAACCCTCCCCCACACTGCCTCCAGATTCTGTGTCCTGCAAACCTCTGCCATCCCCAAATGCACTGACAGTCCAGACCCTCACCGGAAAGGACCAGTGTCATTGCAGGCAGCTCAACGAGGACGCCCAGCCACCCCCAGCTAGAGAATGGCATATCCTCATTGGCCACCGCCAGAAACTGGGCCCTAGGGCACATGGATCAAAGGCAGGGCCAGCGCAACCCATTAGGAGACCTAGGCGGTTGCATAGGGCGCTACAATTTGGGGGGCGGCGACCGTGGCAGCATTTTGGGGTGGGACCTTCCACCGCCTAGAGCGGCAGAAAGGCTGGCGGCGCTCCTGATCAAAGGCCTGGCCTTTTCTGCGACCCTCGCATGTGCACTGCTGCCCTGGCGCTGCCCTGGTCCTGTGGGATGCCAGCTGGGTGCCCTGACCAATGGTGCCTCCCAATTCCCTGATCTGTGGGTCCCCGCCTGCCCCCCTCTGCCTTTCCCTGCTAGCAGAGTTCAAAGGTGAAGGTGCTTCTGTGACGAACTGGGACTGTTCTTACTGTGGTCTTTGAATGCTGACAGGGGAGTGTGGCTAGGATAGTCTGCATTGGGGGATGGGAGACTGGCCGAAGGAGAATACCTGAGCATGTAACATGAGAACCCAGGAAGGGGTTAGAGGCCAGGTGACACCTTTGCCCGGGAAACTGAACAAAGGCTGGAGAGGGAGAGGGAGTCAGAGCTGGCTGGTGATATGGCTGGGCGGCAGACGGGGCTCTGACCTCGCAAGGGGACTGGGGCGCCCTGGGACCCCAAGATGGACCTAACTAAGGGGGTCCTGTTGTCTGTGCCTGCAAGACCTGTCTTGGACTGTATTCCTGTCGTCAGAATAAACCTTCTGCTTTACTGGCTGGCTGAGAGTCCTGGTGAATCGCAGGAAGTCGGGGTGCAGGGCCCTGTGTCCCCCCACACTCCGGGACTCAGCTTCCAAGATGACCTCGTTCTTTTGTTCTGGAGCTTAGGTCGGGTCCTGAGAGCTGATTTATGCAGCTGCTGGGTGGCCTGGCTTTGTTGCCTCACCTCCAGCGCGGTCTGAGAACAACCTGTCTTGAGACTTAGGCTTACCATGGGGGGGAAGGGGACTCCCCCCCGCCACCATGGCAGACTCTCGAATGCGTGTGTGGAGTTAAATCCCCTGTGTATCTGGCAGGGCCTGGGGCATGTGGGGGTGACCCCCTGTCTCTGGCAGGCCCTGGGGGATAGAGGAGTGACTCCCTGTCTCTGGAAGACCTGTGGGAAGGGGGGGGTGACTCTCTGTCTCTGGAAGGCCCTAGGGGATGTGGGGGGGTGACTCTCTGTCTCTGGAAGGCCCTGGGGGATGTGGGGGTGACCTTCCAGGCTCTGGAGCTGCCCCTATCACACACATCCCCTTTTCTCCCCTTCAGTCTCTGTCATCTGCTCATGGGGCCGCTGGTTTCTGCTGCCTTCCCTGGAGCATGACCCCTCCCCCCCCGAACCCAATGGAGCCATTTCCCCCACCTAGCTGCTTGACATCCTCTTTCCCATGGCCTTGCCAACTGC